TTTTGGTAGTGTTTTTATGAGATGCGGTCCACGTTCTGATTGCATTGTCCGAACAAGGCCAGTTTTTTCTTTGTCCGACAAAAGGGTTGAAAATAACACAAGCGTCGACAGTTCCGGACTCAAGTACCACGAGTGACGCACCATCATTTTCAATCCAGTCGATCGAAGAACAGCATCATCATATTCGTATAAACGCTGTATCAACAAGATATCATTCACAGGTGCATCTGCCGTGAGCCTGCATGAAAACCATGATTGAAGATAAACACATATGGTAAACCGATTAAAGCGCTGAACACCTTGTAATTCTCGAGCTGTTAACTGAAAGATGGTTTCGTTGCCTGCAAACAATAGTTTCGATTTTCAATGCATAGATTGCTTTCGCCATCCGCCTATGTAGGGCACCAGGTCTGCGAATGCTGACATCAACCTCCAACCCAACCATTTGTGCAGCAAGCAGAAGAAATTCCAAATAATCATCACGTGCATGACTGACCTCAAGTTGACATTTGATAAATTCTTTAATCGAATCGGACACGATTATAAAAGGGGCGGATCTGGCTTCGGGTGTGTGGTTTAATTCTTGCCATTTTTCTCGAAACCTCTTAAAAAACAAAATCTCTGGTCCAGTGGATGGTCCAAGACAAACATTGAATGCATCGGAAAGGAGTACTTCCAACATGTGATGACGGCATGCCATCCATAATAGATTACGTCCCAGGGCTACTTCTAACAGAGTGCAAGCTCCATTGAGTCTTCCAGTATTGGAAGCCGTAGTGTCGAAGCACATGCCGATGACCATAGATTCGCACTTCCACGATTTGATATGTTCATATACTGCATCAGCAGCTGCCCGTCCTGACCCGGTTTTTTACTTGGGAACACCAAGAAGCTTTGTAGTGCCATCAACAAGTGATGAGAGCAGGACAGGTAATCGATCGACGTTGTTGGTAACCTCTCTGGTAACATCGAGCAATAGCTTATCATCCCAATGAACAATTGATTTTGAGGGAATATAGTCTTCTTTTATAATAGCTGCAGCTTGATGACGACAAAGCTTGCGATGACGATGCATTGTGCTCTTGGAAAATACTGTGTCAGATGTCGGAACACCAGCTTCGTTGAATGCGGATGCAAGTATCATTGTAGATTTTCTAATGCTGGTGTTCGTTCTGTCCAGCACTTCTGCAACTTTTGGTGATATGATGCCTCATCTGCGATGTCGTGTTGCAGAATTTGTTTTGCTTGAGGATGCTGATTGGATGACAAATTCTTCATCAGGTTCTGCATCGTCACTGGAATCCCGACAAATGGATGGATCATAATTGTTTCTAGCCTGACAATTTAGCATGCTTAGTTTAAAACAATCAAATCTTCAAAAAATATGCACAAGTTTTGCACATTAGGTATTTTATATGTTTTCTCGCATTTATTACATTTTCTAATTAAGAATCACACAATTTCAACTCTAGTTAATGGTAGCAATGAGGTAAATATAAGTATATTTAAACTTCATTTTATTCATATATGGCATGCAAAAACTGCAAGTTATTTGAGCCACGATTCGTCTGGATTTTTATGTTGGCCTAATACTGGAATTTTAAAAGCTCTTGGGGGACCTCTAAATGTTGTTCAAATGAGCTACAACTTCACCAATTCACTCATTGTACCCAAGAGACACATTTCAGGGGGTGAGACACCAAAGATTAAAAAAAATATTTTTTTCGAGCATTTCTGGGACGCCCTACTATTCAATAATATTCTAGTTGTGACAAATATAAATTTAACTATTCAGACTCATCGTCTTATCAATCCAAATTAAGTTATGACATTAAAGCAAAAGATACATTTTAAGTAGTGCTGTGCAGAAAATTACTAAGACTAATTGAAATTGGCAAATATTTGTCAAATTAATCCTAACTAAGCCACTAAATTT